GCGGTGGGATTGCAATAGGACCTAGGATGCCGCACACATCAATCGATTGTACATGGTACAACTACAGCAAACTAGTCTCTTCGATGTATCGATTGTAATTCTCAAAATATTATTGGATTTTACACAATACTGTTTGCGGGTGGTTTACTAAATTCATCCGGATTAGAAGCTGTGACCTGACTGTTTAGATATAAAGAATACAACAACTCCACTTAAAGGAGGATTCCCGATTTGTAGCGACGGAACATTCTGACAAATTACTTGATACAATGTACATCGTCTTCCATAATTCTGTCGATGTACAATTTACTATACTACATCATCTCACCTCTTACCAGTTGGAATAAAATGTAAAAATTATTTCTCTCCGAGATTGGATTTCAAATGGTTTCATACTTATGCGACTAAAATAAACTTATTTCCTTAGGGATGACGTCCTTAGGTTTGTATTATTACGAATGTTGGCAGAAGAGGATAATCATCACAATCGTTGGTCCACAAATATAAGTTTGCAGACCCGGTATCGGTGACGGACCGTTTTCGTTGTTAAGATTAGTGTGTAAGCGGATTCACTTCGTAATCCCAAAGAGTACCTCCTCTATAGTTCCAAGTTCCAAGAAATAAACAGTAGATTTTGTAAGATAAACTTTTCTCTCTCGTTTTCCCTGAAGTATTTCGACAAAGTCCATAATTTCTAAACAACACTAGTTTTACCCTAACTCGGAATTTTACGTTTTATTTCATGTTTTTTTTCTTCCTTTTTAATTTGAATTCGACGGGAATAAATAAACAATTTATTATTATTTGGGTGAAAATGCGCTTTCTTCTATGGTCCCTGTACTGAACCTAGGACGAATTTTTAGACGTGGAAAACACATCACTAAGAAGATGTAAAGATAGGATGTCCATTGAACACACAAAAAGGGTACTGTACACAGACTTTACTGAGCAAGAATAAATGGGGGATGTCAGTCGGATCTAGACGTGGGACTCCGATTGATGAATCTGATACAAAACCACTCCGAGACTCCTCAGGGCCTCCTTCTTATATTACCTTCCTATTTCTCCCCGTAAAGCCGACGAGGGAACGTCCTCGGCGCGAGGGAGTACCTCGATTCTCCTCTTCTTAGGACACGTTACTTAGTCCTCTTCATACCTCTACAGTTGCTGACACACAAAGGACGACCCTTGTAGTGGACAGATACATGTATAACTACTCCTCGGTGACGAAGACACAATCCAACCACAGAGACCAATGACGGTCTTACAACGTAGTGGTGGTTCAAAGTTTCTGCCTGTTTAGAACTTTACTTTGTCTTTCTGTTGGAATATATACGTACAAGCTGTGCAAACGGTTATTATGTCGGTTGTCTAAAGCTTAGAATACCTGGTAAAACAGGGGGGGAAACTTAAAAAACTTTGCGGTATAACAATTCGCTTCGTATAACAATCGCTTCGTAAATGCCGTTTTACTATGCTCAGAGAATTCTACTTTAAGGTCTTCCAAAAGATTGTGTTTTTATTAATTTATTGAAGTTATTTGCCTCACCCATCCTGTACTCCAGACTATAACAGAAACACAGAGGACGACGTCCAAACCTACCTTGTCATCTCCTGTAGTTGTCTTCCGGTCTCCTCAATACCCTGTTTGTAGGAGGAGGGAGGAGTTTCGGTTTTGGAAGACCGTCAACCACACCCTTTCGGCGACTTACTACAGTGTGAGTAGTAGGAGGTTCACCGTCGTCAGTAAAGAGATCGTGAAAGGAAGCATCGTCAGTGGCTCAACGACGTTCTGTCGCACTCAAATCTAAGACGAAAATTTGTTAGTTTTACTTTGGAGGTCGACCTAAATGTAGAAGTTTATCATAGAAGACGATTGAAAATAACCAATTGGACGAACAACATCTGTGGGAGTGTCGGAATAAAGTCCGGTGTTTTTTTATCGGACAAAATTACTATACATTCTCACTGTACGATGCGTCGTCAAACCATATCACGCCCACCCGTCGAAAACTCACTGGCTACCCGAATGCAGAGTCCCAGGAGGAAGGAGTCGGAACAATGAGTCACCTTCTAGGCGCTACCTCGAAGATTTCGAACTAAAATAATGATATAAATTTAACATGGACAAAATTATGGAGTTCATAGTAGTAGTAGAGTAGTATAGTAGTAAATGAAAGAAATATAATTTTGTAATATATAAAGCCGGAGGAAAAAATACTGTGACATATTCTACATCCAGTGCGTGACAGACCCTCGGCCAAGTTATCCGTTCTGCAGTTTATTCAAACTTTACAACTGTGTGCAACGGAGACGAAGTCTGACGCCGGTTTCGCCGGCCACCGGCACCACCTCCTGCACTCCGCCCCGACCACCGCGTGCCAGCCTCCGACCTACCTAGCTTCCACGTCGATAGGAGGGAACAGACACGCCAGACGCCAGCGGACCACTGGCCGGGAAGTTGCTGACTCATTCCTCTTCGGTCCAAGGCGACCCCGAGGTCTCGGCGGTAGCTTAAAGTCCGTCGTCTTCAAAGTGGACGATCCAAGCGCCGCCCGTGCACTAGGTACTAGGAGCACGGCCTCTACAGCCAGCCCACTACATTCTCCTTTTTCACAAGTCGATTTTGTGTCGAGCTGCAACTCACTTTCACTAACTTCTGAAAACGGTGTTTTATTGACGAAGACCTTTACGAAATGCTACCCAGTCAAAACTTGTCCCGCAACGGTGAAAAAACATTAAAACATAAACTGTACTGTAAGGTTGAGAACCGGAGGAAACTTAACCGTGGAATAAATAGTCCTAATACCCTCCCTGAGAGTTCGTTTGTGTGCTATCAGATAAAATGCTCCAGAACGCAATATTAAACATTCAGTAAAAATCTGTATCGTAGAATTTTTTCTTACATCGTATTACGTGTAACCTCCACAGGATTTTGAATAGATACTTTTAGGAAGTTAAACCAAATCATTGCGAAGAGTCAAGTTACACTGTACTGAAAGACCCCGAGAGTCTCCCTCTTGTGTCAAGGATTACAGAAGAGAAAACGATCTGCCTTATTAGCACAGAAGTTCAACAATAGTTATTTTAGTAAAATGAAAACAATAGGAGCATCAGGAGTACCACTGCTATTGTTACAACACTACTGCCTAGGACGACTCCAACCTCGACACAAATAGAACACGATGACAACCCAACTAAACAGGTCGCACTAGGAGGACGGATGACCTGCGCAGGACGTAGCGTCCCGTGGTAGACTTTTATCCACTACTCTCGGAGAGACTGGCGCCCTCAAGCCTAAGTGAAAACAAAACACCCTTTTTTACTCACAACTGTTGCTATGGGGGGGGGTACAACACAGTACGGGGGGGGGGGAGGGAGGGGTGCTTTTGTGTCGGGGTCCTTTTTTCCTGGTACTGCTATTTGTTGTACGGTAATAAATAAAGTTAACTAAACTAAATTTAGGTGAAATGTTACTAATGAGGTCATTCCAGGTCGTTATTAGTTTTCGGTGGCAGACTTGCGAAGGTAGTACCTAGTTGAGGACAGAGAGGGGAGTCCGATGGGTACACCCCCTACCCCGCTCCGCGAGACGTTCAGCCAACAAACCCGAGTGACGACAACCCACTTAGAGTCTGACCTTAGTAGAAGCGCGACGAAACGACGACCCACTCATCTATTAGTCACCTTAACTACGACCCCAAACTCCTCGACCGTTTGTGTTTCCACCCTGTTGTTTTCCATTCAAGTCTTGTGTTATCATTAGACTAAGTAAGATCTCTGACGAAGGTACGCTAAGTAATACTTGAAATCACGGAAGTATAGTTTCAAAACTAGAAATCAGTTATTGTTAATGTCTAAAGCGCAGAGAAATCTGATTAGCTGGTTGCGACGTCGACGATACGACCCCCAATTTGGACCGAAGTAACTACGCTGAACACACATAACGGAAGGATAGCGACCATCCTGTTGTTTGCTACCTACTGCAACGACCTACCTGTACGGGGTCAGCGAGTTGCTCCTTCTGTGGTCTTTTCTCTTTTGTAGATATTGCACATCAGTGAAGGAGGTCAACTTCGGACTTGTTATGACTGGTACGTCTAGCCGGTTATCAGGTGCCCTGACTATATAATTAAGTATAAGTAACAAAACGAGTGAAGATAAGTGTTGTGTGTGTGTGTAGTGCGTGCGTGGCGTGCGTGCTGCGTGCCGTGCGAGTGTGTACCGCAAAACAGGAGAGAGGAAAAACCAGAATTATTAAAGTTAGTGTTGACCAGGTTTTTAATGGGGTATGTTGTATAGTTGGTAGTCACTAACGTACAACGCCAAAACAGTTTTTAAAAATCTCACTTTACCACATTGAACACTTGCTAAATTAATGTGAAAAATCTTACAATACTGCAAAGCTGGATTTCAAGAGTCACTTCCCTTTACCAACACATTGGATGCAGATACTGAAGAAGATGGTAAGTAATGAAACTAGGACTTAAAACTTCTAAATATTAAGTTTACACCCCTGCTTTTAAGGACGAGAGAACGAAAACCCCGTCGAGTATTTTTTTAATTATGTTTTTCTTCCATCAACAACATATAATAACCATAACATCATGCATTGTTTACTTACAAAACCATTAACAACAGGGGTAAATCGCCGCATAGAAAGAGGGCTAAAAAATAACTATACACGTTAGCATGGGAGAAATGTATCTCTGGTTAAAGTTTAAATAAATAAAGTTTTTTTTTAAATGTTGTCAGTTGTTAGACACCTATATAATTTAGTGGCTTTAGTGATACACATGTTATGATTGTCATATCATTGATGTATCTTCTATACGAGTCAAAGGCATTGGTAGATTATTGTTAGCTAACTAAACTAGAAGCTAGGTTACTACCATAGACTGTATATAAAGGTTACTACATGTTAGCTGGCACTGACAGTTAAAACTATCTCACTTAACTACATTTAACTTTAATAAAATAAACATAATTTGTTGGCAAGAAACATGATTGACATAAAATAATGTTAGCTTTTTATACAGTCAAACTGCATTAATGGTAGATAAATGTTAGCTCGCTAAATGATAGCACATAGCACCGAGGGCACTGCGGCGTTAGGTGGCGCTGTTTAATTACCGAACAGTTTGAAACACACTTAACACTTGCTAAATGAATCTGAAAAAGTTAAAGAGTCACTTACCTTTACCAACAAGTTCGATGCAGATGCTGAAGAAATATTGTAAATAGGGCTAAACACTTCTTTATATACCGTTTATACCCCTGCTGTTATTGCCGAGAGAACGGAAACCCTGTCTGGAGTATTTTTTAAATGTGTATTCTTTATTCAGTAATTAACAAAACATCATACATTGTTTACATACAAACCCTTTAACAACAGTGGTACACTACACAGCTACATAGAAAAGCAGAACAAAGAAAATCAAAACAACTGTGTTATTTCAAATATATATATTTTTAAATGTGTACAGTTAGTTTGTATTGCTTCCTTATTAATTATGTTTTTAAAGTTAATTTGAGTAGTGTGGCTAATATGTTAGCTACAATATTCTAACCTTAGAATACACAACCACAAAAACAAGTGTGACTATTGTTTTTTCCAATGAATGCATCCCCTTACTGTATATTGCTAATCAGTTTCAACTTCACATACTGCAAAAATAAAAAATGTTTAGAGTCCTTTTCAAAAATATTATATTTCTAGTTTCTTGTAAACAAACTGATTTTTGTAAGATATATTCAATATGTATAATATACATGATAATGGAGATTAACAAATAATGTATTTCGTATTTGTGTAGAAATAATAATTCCCTCATTTACCTAGATGGTGCTATCTCATTGTCTTATAAGAAAACACATTTCAGAAGTTATCTGGGAGTGTGAAATTGGCCTACATTTCCTTTCAGACCACGGATTTATTTTCCACATTTTTACAATATTGAGCAAACTTTTTCAACCAGCTGTTCTTGTAAACACGACCAAAGCTCAGGGTTTGCAGCTTGCTTGATTAACAATGACTGTAATACTTCATCTGACCACCAAGGATCAGTATAGCCTAAAGATATAGCCTATAGACTGCAGTCAAGGATTTAAGGTTGACTCATTTCCTCCCTCCGTGCACTGCACCAAAAGCGTCCAATAATATTCATTGCCGCTGTAAATATAGTTTTCCAAAAATGAACAAATTTGTCAATTTATTTGTGTTTTTAGCTGTTGCTGATACCAATAGAGGTCAAAATCCTCCGAAGATGATGTCACTAATATCTTGTAATCTATTGTCTGATCCCTGTGAGAGTGGAGGCCCTCTGGACTACAACTCTCAATAAGCCTGCTGCTGTGTGCAATGATACCAGAACAGAACAAATAAAGTATTTGGGAATCAGCTAGCTTTCCTGTTGTATTGTGTGATGATGACAAGTGACCCCAAGCGGATAAAGATGGTGTAACAAATTGAAGTTGTTACTAAGCTACTATACATTACATAATTGTACAATATTGACCACATCTAAGTTTTTTACCCTGCAAACCTGTGCTGCAAGATGCATAGTTACTATAGCTAAGGATAACTCTATTGCCACAAGGATGAGGCTTCTTCAGTCAAGCTAGGTTATTTCGGGGCCAAAAAAATACCACTTGTCTGAAAGGAGGCCAGAGAAAATAAAGGATACGGAGTGTGCTGTGACAGTAAATTGTTCAATGTTTTTCAGATAAATGGGGAGATTTTATAGGCAATGCTTGGACAGAGGAGGGGATGGTGCCTTCGAGAGTTGAAAAGAAAGAATGGTTGGTAAAG